ACCCGCAGCCCCAGCCCGCCGCTCCCTCCCTCCCTCCCTCCCTTCCTCCCACGCAGGTCACAGAACGGGGGGGGAGGAGGCGAGGAGAGCGCCCCGACTTGTTGGCGGAGAGGAGATAAGAGGAGACACGCCCCTCCCTTCGCGCTGGGCCAGGGCTCCTGGATCCGCGCTTGTTCTCGGGGCGCCATCTGCGGGGCTCGGGATGGATGGGTTCCATGCGACCGCCACTTTGGGGATCCTGAGAGCGGCTGTCCTGCGCGGGCTTCACGACCCCACCCCCACTGCGGCCAGGAAGGCCGGGAACCTCCACCCCCACCCTGAGATCCGGTCCTCCCGCTTCCGCCCCCCAAGAAGGCCGGGACAGAGGGAGAGGCTGTGGGGGCTCGCGGGGAGCGCGCGGCAGCTCCGGGTTCACTAATCACATCAGTTCGCCCTGCGCAGCTTGGAGCAGCCAGTTGCCTAGCAATACCCGCGAATTCAATTCCTCAATCAATAGGCGAGAGGTCTGCATTTCGGGGAGAGCAGTCGAGGCTGGGAGGATGGGGGGCGGGTCCCACGACTGGACTGGGAGCAAGCGGGAGCGCCCCGGAGCGCAGCGGCAAGGAACTCCGGCCTTGGGGGGGACCGGCAACATGGGGCCTGGGGGGTGGCGCTCGGTGGGGGAGACCCGACAGAGGAAGGGGGACACAGAGGTCGCGCCCACCCTCCCGGGGTCCCCGAGTTCTGCTGGATCCCAGAGAAATGCACTAGGTAGGCGAGGGAAGCCGAGACCTCCTCCTCCTGCTCCCTCCCCTCTCTCCCTCTAGTTGGAGCTCCCCCAGTTGGGGAAGGGCCTTTGGGGGTGGGATCCCCCTGGGCTGCTGGGGGCGAGAGTGGGGGGGTGGGGTAGTATTCAGAGAGGAGGGGAGGGGGTCCCCTGTCCGTCTGCTCCAGTGGGTGGGGGAGGGGAGAGAAGGAATAAGACGGAGACATCTCTATTTACAAAGTATATATTTAAACACGTAAAAAGCCGTATTGGATACAGACAGACATTCACGACCGCAGAAGGTAAGTACCGAAGCCTCACTGTTGAGCTGAGGCGGAGATCGATCCGAGATTTGCACGAACCTTAGAATTAAATAAACCCGACCCCGCGCAGTCCCAGGCCACCAGCCACAGCCCTGCCCTGCCCTGCCTACCCCGTCCCCAGGTCAGCGAGCGGAGGAGACACACGGCCAGGGACCGACGGACGGACAAAGGCGCGGGGGCAGAGCCAGGCCAGCCCGGGGAGGTGGAGGAAGGAGCACGGGCAGCCGGAAGGGAGGAAGGCGGAGGGAGGGAGCGCGGACAGGCGGCAGCCGGGTAAAGACACGTGTCCCCGAGTTACTGTCCGCTCGGGTCCAGGCAGGTCCCTTCAGTGAAGTCTCATCTGAAAATAGCGTCGGCATTTCCATAGATACACTCAGTCAACGGCGCTTCTCATACAAAGTCTAAAATACCAGTTTACAAATGTGAGCAGATAAAAATCCCCATCCTAGGGGCTCCTTTATAGGCGCAGTTTAGTATTCAAAAACAAAGTCATGGAATACACTGTTTCACTCTTCTTTCACCCCCGCTCGCTCAAGGCAAGAAAG